GTTACTTCGGTATGAATATGCATGCCCTTCTCTGGGATGAAACCGTGTTTCCCTCTTTGTTTCAGTGGTCGACAACAGTAGCAACTGGGCAGTGTGTGGGAAAAGTTCTGGAGTCATCTCCATGCCTGTGGTCGCTCAGGCCACGCACAGAGTCCACATGGAGGTGATGCCCCTGTTTGCGGGGTACCTGCCCCTTCCTGACGTCAGGCTGTTCAAGTACCTCCCGCATCACTCTGCACACTCCTCACAACTGGATGCTGGTAAGGACTCGGTGCAGGGAGCAGGCCTGCTGAGCACAGACATTCCTCGGGGGGTGGACTCTAACACCCAAACCTGGTCAGGGTTACAAGCCTTAGGCTCCTGCTCTGGGACTCCATCCTCGGAGGACCCGTGCGCTAGGTTCCCTGTAAGAGGGTGCCTCAGTTAACATGCTGCTGCGCTGAAGGTGGGCTTGGGTGGCTTGTTACTCCCCACGGTAGGTAAGGGTTCTTGGCTGTGTGGCCTGTGTCTCACTTCCTGTGTGTTTGTAGATAGCTGGATAGAAAATGATAGCCTGTCGGTGGACAAGCATGTGGATGACCAGCCGGACAGCAGCAGCATCAAGAGCAGGGGCAGCGTGCACTCGGCGGCCAGCAGCGAGCACAAAGGCTTGCCTATGCCCCGGCTGCAGGCGCTGCCGCCCGGCCAGGTCTTCAACTCCAGCACGGGCATGCAGATCCTGGTCATCCCCAGCAAAGACGACCATGTTCTTGAAGTCAGTGTCACATGACCACGCCGGTGACATGGTTAACATGCCCAGACCTGGTGTGAATGCACTTGAAGGGATCCTGACTTGATTATTCCATTGTAACATTCTAGCTCTAACCAGATCTGGGGACTCTGCCTGGCTGCGCAAGCATCAGAGTGTTTCATTGTGCAGCCGGTCCGCAGAGTCCAACATTAACTTTGTGTTGTCAGTGGTGTAAAGTTCCTTGTTACTTTCTCATCTCCCTGTCCCTGTGCTGTGTCCTCCAGTGCTGGCCCAGAGCCCACTTCTTATCCCTCACTCCCTGCTCACGAAAGCTCTTTATGGGGGTCTCTCACCTGGACAGCTTTCAGTCTGCTGGCTCTTCATGGCGGCTCGCGTGTCTTCCAGGGAGACACCAGCAGGCCTTGCAGTCTTAGAGTGACACGTGTGTGCCTTTCTGGTCACACGGCTGTGCAATTCCTGGACCAGGTGGATTTGTCCGTCTCCTAAAGGGTAACAGCCCTTTACCTCAGCTCATCTAGTCGTGCTTTTCTAGAAAAACACCCTTTTAGGGCAGGTGGGTGGGGCTTAGGGGTGAGGGGGAACAACCCCTTCTGTGCCTTGGGATGTCAGACTGGGCCGACCTGGAGCACCCATCAGCTGGAGCCATTTTCAAGGTACTTGAGAAGACTAGAGCAGGGCCAAGGAACAGTGCAGTGTTCAAGCAGTTCAGGAGTGAATGTTTCTGGGACCTTTTTCCCTCGTAATGTTGATTCAATATCATATGCACTTGAAATTAAATATATATTTATTTTAATTATCATATATGTGAGGGTTAATATGTTATATTTTCTCTCACCTTTAAACTTAAAGACTTTACATGTAATTGTAATTGTATAATCAATATTTTTTTTGCACCTTAAATCTTAGAAATTAACAGGTTCCATATAAGTGAAGATTAGAGGGGGTCCTTTCAGTGAATTTCTAGTCTGGCTGTAGGAGGGATGAAAGTCTTGGCATATTTTCTGCTGGTCCACTAAATTGCAGTCATACGGTACCAATGGATTAATTTGCTTTTGGTTGTAAATTTAATTGTACATATGGTTGATTTATTATTTTTAAAGTACAGACTAACTGATGTAATGTTTATGTATAAGTTGCACCAAAAATCAAGAACAGAATAAATGCGTGTTTGTTTTTATTGGTGTGAAAGTCACAGCTTGTAAATAAGTGTTGTATGTATTAAACCTTTTCCAGCTCTCCAAAGCGATGTATTTTTGTACATATGAAATAGAGAACTCTTAATTCACTGGGAAAGTGGTCGGAATTGAACTTGAACAGATTAATGCAAGTGAGGGTGGGGCCTCATGTGAATAACCTCAAATGTGTGAGCCTTACAGAAATGGGAGCCTTTTGCAGCTGCTACTGGTTGGGGCTGGTCACCTGCTTGAGAGAGGCAGGTGGGATGGGGATAAGAAGGTCAGATTGGTGCATACACAACAGAGCAGTCACCATCGCTCTTGTCTAGGTTGTCTGTATCAACTCAGCCAACAAATAAAGGTGGTGTGATTGATTTCCCCCTCGTGTCCTTTTCATTTATAGATATTGGAGAAGTATGTGAAGAAGATAGTGTTTTGTGTTTAATTAAACTTCCCAGAAATTTATCTTCCGTATGAACAGTTTAAAACTAATAAACTTGGTCAACTGCTTAGGCAAATTAGATCTTCAGCATCTAATGATGGTTTAGGATTTCTAAAATAAGTTTGTTTTATTGTAAAAGTTAATGATTGTCCTACAGATCTACCAAGCCCTGTGAATGAAGAGATCTTTCGAGATTTGATTCTGTCAGAAAAGCTCTAATCCGAGTGCTCATTCCCGGAGCCAAGGGGACAAGCCCTCCCCCCATGTGTAATGGAGCTTCCGTCTTCCTCTGGAAGGGGCAGTGCGGTTCAGTGTTAACCTATTTCTGTTTGCTCTTTGTGTCTGGGTTCTAATCCCACGATGAAATTCTCTAATTATACAGATTTGGAGGGGAGAAATATGAAGGGGAAAACCAAAATGTTAATGGTGGTAATGGTTTCTTACTGTCTGGAAATTTAATGAAATCAAATTTTTCATAGGTTAATTTTTTTTTTACCCTAACTACTCAAAAGATCTTTTGTAATATAAGTTAACATGAATGCCTCTGTTTTTAAAACATTCTTTTTGTTTTTTTACACAAAAGAAGAATGTCACCTAAATCATCTTTTTTTTTTTTTCCTACTAAAAGGCTGTAATTGGATTTTTGTTGTGTTTAAAATAAAACAAGGCTTATGGGTTTGATACAGGCTGGTTTAGTTGATAAAGATGTAGCAGCTGTTAAATAATTATGAAGCCAGATATCGAATGTACATCTAAAAAACAATATGCAGCTACTTTGCAAATATGTGTGGAATTGTAAATATTAGCAAAAGGAAAAGAAAGAATGTTATAATTTTGGTGAATTTCATGGGGTCTCCTATGATTGGAAAAATTATAACTTCTGATTCTAATGTCAAAATTGTTGTATTTAATCTGAAAATGACTTCTACCTACAGTTCCATTGTCAGCATAGGCCGAAGTGGGTTGGATTCCTAAATTAGTAAGTCTTAGTTGATGAGTATAGATATCCCATAAAGGGCCAGTAGAGAAAATACACACAGGCTTCTGTTCAGTTTTTCTTTAGTGTTTAAAATGAGATTGTTATAAAATGAATTTAAACACTCCAGGTGTGTATATAAAATGGAAAGTTAAATACTTTTTATAAAAGAACAAACTAGGCTGATATGTTTCATTGTCAACTGTGATCTTTAAAATAAATCCTACATGATTTTAAAGTCTGATTTTTCACGAAAATGCCTCTTTCTCTAAATTTATTCATCTTGTACACCAAGCTATAAGACCAGAAAGCATTGTTAATAGAATTTGCTGGGATTCTGTGACTGGAAAAGGTGACAAGTTGGTGACTTTGACACTGCAGGTATTAATTCCATTTTCATGGTTTATTATGAAAGTCATTTTTCACATTCTGTAATATATTGTTAGACTAAAACCATTGTATTAAGACTGTTTAAAATGTAAGCATTATAATTCTGAAATACACATTTTAAGAAGAAACTGCTGATTTGAATTTCGTTCTTTTGCTGTGGGATGTGAAAATTGAGTGTGCAGAGTTAAATAATTGTCTTGTATTCTCTCCCTGAACCTTGTTTCTTTTTTTTAATTTTTTTATCCTCACCCGAGGACATTTTTCCATTTTTTGTTCAGATAGAGCAGGAGGGAGAGAGAGGAAGAGAGAGAGAGAGAGAGAGAGAGAGAGAGAGAGAGAGAGAAACATCGTCGTGAAGGGACACATCGAGCGGCTGCCACCCGCACGACCAACCAGGGCCGGGGACAAACTGCAACCGAAGTACACGCCCCTAGCGGGAACCGAACCCAGGTCTCTCAGGACCGCAGGCTGACGCTCCAACCGCTGAGCCAAACTGGCCAGGGCCTGAACCTTGTTTCTGACTCTGAGTGTAGATTAATCGCTTTGGGGGGAGCATTAGGGATTTTTTCCCCCCATAATTTAATACCCTGTAGCTCACACGAACTAAGACAGTTGAGTTTCAGAGGTTTCGGTTTTTTGGTAGATAACATCTACCAGCCTAACGTTTTCCAAGGTAACTGCCTCTGTGATGTTTGGTAGCATCGTAATACAATTTCTTCGGAAGAGTGTGGTTTACAATTTATTCAGAGCCTCGTTCTTTCTGTTCTTTCATAATCCAAAGCTATTACGTTTAAGCAAGCGCGGGATCGGACCTTCTCACCCTCCCTAGAGGATGAATGGTTCCTCGGGCCTGCTGGACGAGCCTGGCCCAAACCTGTGACTACCGAAGCCGCCCTGAACGCGCCCCGCCCTGCGCAGGTGCGCTACTCCAGGAGGGCGGGGGGTGGGGCCCGCGGGCTCAGGCTCCACCTTGGGGCGGGGAGTGGGCGGAGCCTAGGAGAGACTGGCTCTGCTTTGGGGCTGGGACTAGGCCGAGCTAGGGACTCAGCTCTGGCTCCGGGCAGGGAATGGGCGGGGCCTGGGTGGAAGGCAGGTTCTGGCGGGGGCGGGCCAGAGTTCAGGCTCCGCCTTGGGGTGGGGCGTAGGCGTGCTTGGGGGCTGGGACTCCGCTTCGGGCGGCTCCGCACCTCCGGGCCCCTGGGGGCGCTGTGACGCACAGCGGAGGTCCGGCCCGGAACTTCTCGCTGCGGGCGGGTGAGCAGGGCAACGAGTCTGGGTGGCGGCGGCACACGTGCGGCGGCCGCGATGAAGTTCGCGTACCGGGTGAGCGTGCGCGCGGGTTGGCACACGGGGCCCCTCGGCGGCCGGGGGAGAGCGGTGGAGGGGTGTCGGTGCCAGGGACCTTCCGCTTGGGGGCCAGCGAACCAGGCCTGGGTGGGCTCGGCGTCCGGCAGCAGTGTCCTCACCGTGTAACCTGTGGCGTCTGGGCCGCGGGGGCTCCAAGCGCAGCAGCGTCCTGGATCAGGAGGCTAGGGCCGGGCCCGCAGGCGGCGGTGTGGGGCGGGTGGGCCATCCCGGAGCCGAAACTCCGGCTAGCAGAGGCCGCGGTGATGGGAGGGGTGCAGGCGCAGGCGGGCGGAGAAGCCCACCCGACGTCATCTGTCGTCGTCTTCCTCCGTGGCTCAGGATCATTGACCCCGTGTTCGACCTGGTAACCCCGTTCTTCCGGGGCTGTTCTTCCGCAGGGTCGGGTCATTCCCCCTGGTCCCTGCCCAGCTCCGTGCAAGCCCGCAGCAGCTGCATCCCACACCTGCGCTGTCCCAAACTGAACCTCGTGCACCCCGAGAGTGCTCCAGTAACCCAACACAGGGGGTTCGTGGTTTGAAGTGTCTGAGCCTAAGGAACATAAGTCTTGTTGGAAGATAAAGGCTTTAGTTTTGCTTGGGACAAGTAAAGGAGGAAGGGGAGTCATTTCCAAAGCGGTTGCTTATGTACACTGGTTAATCACTTGTTGATTTCTTCTTTGCAGTTGGCTACACTTACTCGTTGTGGTTCTGGTAAAGCTCATCTGTTACATTTGTAACAAAATACTGTTACATTTTAGCATTTATCAAGAGCATTTAATAAGAACTGCCCAGCCCTGGCCAGTTTGGCTCAGCGGTTAGAGCGTCGACCTGCGGTCCGGAGAGACCCGGGTTCGGTTCCCGCTAAGGGCATGTACCTCGGTTGCAGTTTGTCCCCAGCCCTGGTTGATCGTGCGGGTGGCAGCCACTCAATGTGTCCCTTCACGTCGATGTTTCTCTCTCTCTCTCCCTTCCTCTCTCTCCCTCCCACTCTATCTGTACAAAAAATGGGAAAATGTCCTCGGGTGAGGATTAAAAAAAAAAAAAAAAAAAAAAGAACTGCTATCTAACACTCCTCTGTGACCCAAACTCTGAGGGGCTCTGCTGCCATTCTCCCTCCCATATCCAGACGAAGTTCAGGCCCCTGCACTTCATCTGCCCTCTCCACACCTGCAATTACCTCCCAGGTTGAGACACCCTCACCTTCTGTGTGGAACAGTACAGACGCCTAAATGGCTTCCCAGCTTCCCCTCATGCCTCAGTGGTCATTGGAGTAGTCTTCAGAAAGTGGGAATTGGATCACAGCGTACCTCTGCTTCCAGGCTCCCTGCCCCTCCCCCCCAGGCCTCCCTGGGGTTCTGGACCTTTCAGCTCCCACTGCTGGCCTGGCTGGCTTCTCATCCAGGTTCCAGCCCAGGCAGCCCCTCCAAGGGTCCCTCCCTGACCACTTCTGAAATGCCGCTTCCTCTGTAACTACTGGGGTTTGCTATCTTCACCTCGCTCCACCTGCTCTGTAATTGTAATTATGTTTCCTTCACCCTTGCCTGCTGGGCACAGACTGAGGGCAGAAACTCTGTGCACAGAAATATCTCCGGGGAACACTCACATTTGATCATTGAGTAAATGAATGAGCTAATAAATAGGATGCCGGCAGGCTCCTCTGTTCGGAGAGCCTTGAACCCAGGGTGCACTTGGGGTGCCGTTCCATTGTTGTAGCTTTTCTCTTCCTGAACCGTGGGCCCTGTTCTCTCCTCCACCTGGCAAATACCTCCTGTCTGTGGAGGCTTCCCCAGTGCTTACAGTACCTCTCAGCCACCTCACTGGGAGCTCGGCGCCCCTGGGGATTGGGCTCACTTCTCCTTCCTCTCTTGCTCAGGGCTGGGTCGCATCGGTGCCCAGTTAGTGCCCCAGGAGATGACTGAGAGATCCCAGGAATGACCAGCTGCCCCGTGGGGGTTCGGTACTATCCTCTTGACTCCATGGGTCACTTAGCCCTTTTCTGGAGTTGAGTTGCTGTGATGTCTTTGTTTTCTTTTCTAGTTTTCAAATTTGTTGGGGACAGTCTATCGGCGTGGAAACTTAAATTTTACATGTGATGGAAATTCAGTGATCAGTCCTGTGGGAAATAGAGTCACTGTGTTTGACCTTAAAAAGTAAGTACTGCCCTGGCTGGTTTGGCTCAGCAGTTAGAGTGTCGGCCTGCGGTCCAGAGAGACCCGGGTTCAGTTCCCGCTAAGGGCATGTACCTCGGTTGCAGTTTGTCCCCGGCCCTGGTTGGGTCGTGTGGGTGGCAGCCACTCGATGTGTCCCTTTCACATCGATGTTTCTCTCTCTCTCTTCCTCTCTCTCCCTCCCACTCTACCTGAACAACAACAACAAAAAAGTAAGTACTAAAATGGTGTAATGTAGCAGTCCTTATAGTTTACATGTAAAAATCAGTGGTGTTTTCTTTAACTTCCTCTTAATAGGGCACCTGTGAATTAAGGCAGCCTGAGCTGGCGGCCACAGCATAGAGTCGGGCCAGCAGTGGAACTGGAGGTTTCTTCCTAGTTCCTCAGCTAAACCTCGTGTATCGAGGTCGTTGTTACCTTCAGGGTTCAAATCATGTGCCACTCGGCTGAGTTGTGTGGGAAGGGGTACCGGGGTGTGAAAGCCGCCCTGGGCCGCCCAGTCAGCACAGTGCTCCCTGAGTTCCTCTCGTAAGGGGAGGGCCTCTGCGCGCTGCCACCCCTTCCCGGGCCGTGCGGCCTGGGCGGGATCCTCCTGTCGCACGGGCTCTGCGGGCCTCAGTGTCCCTGTCTGTAAAACGGGACGGTGGCATGGTCATTACTGTCACTGCTGAAGGGGCTCTCTCGAGTACCTGTCACATGTTCGCTGAAGAAAAACCGGGAAATGAAGAACAAAATTAGAGTCTAACCCACTTGTTTTTCCATTTTTCCACATTATCTGTAAAATAGTGATACATCCTCATGCTGTCCCTGTGGTCGATCCCTCCTGTTGGACAGTTAGCTTTCTTCCAGTCTTCTGACCTTCCTCACGTGCAGGACTTTGGGATGCAGTCCTAGAAGCAAAATGTTCATATCCAAAACCCATTTTTAAGGTTTTGTAACTTGCTCTGCCAGATTTTCTCCGCGGGTTTTACTTCCTTTCCTTTCAGCGTGGAGCAAGGATTAGCGATGAGCTCAGGCCCAGGGAGCAGGAGGGGTGTGTCGTTGGGGCAGGTGACCCGGTGGTCCTGGCCTCCCCATCTGACATCCTGAGACCGACTTACACGCTCTGGTTCTTGTCTCTCAGCAACAAGTCCAACACTTTGCCCCTGGCCACTCGGTACAATGTCAAGTGTGTGGGGCTGTCCCCAGATGGCCGTCTCGCCATCATCGTCGATGAAGGTAACCACCAATGACAAAGAGATAAGAGACGGGGGTGCAGGGTGGTGACTGATGGCACAAGTTGGGCGGCGGGTTGGGATCAGGGTGCCAGCCGCTCCAGGTCCTGCTAGGGGTGGGGTACAGCCCACGTGTCTTCTGTCCCTGTTGCTTTCACATCGAGCCTGGGGTGTGGGTGTGTGCGTGGGGTGTGGACGTTCCTGGGCGTCCTCCTCAGCTACGTGTTCGTGGCATCGAGGTGGTGCTGGGCCTCACGTGTCAGAGCATGCTCCCCAGTGTCCTGGTAGAAACAGAACTTGGCGTCTCAGCTGTGTGTCAGCTGTATGTCAGGTGAACACATGGCAGCCACTCCCTTCCGCAGGGGGCAACGCGCTGCTGGTCAGCCTGGTCTGCAGGTCCGTGCTCCACCACTTCCACTTCAAGGGCTCCGTGCACAGCATCTCCTTCTCCCCCGATGGCAGGTAAGGGCCTCCCGGCTCCGCACCGGGCATTGCCGAGGGCTGGCGCTGGCTGGTGCAGACCTGGAGGGCTCTTCCCACTCGGGACGTCACTGTGGGAGCCTGTGCTGGTGTCTCGTGTTGGCAGCCCAGTGGGTTCCTGAACTGAGTGCTCCCGCCGGGCCCTGGCTCCTGCGGGGCCGCCCGGGCCTCCCCCCTTCTCCTGCCCCGGAGCAGGTGGACACACCACCTCCAGAGCTGGCATGGCCTCAGAGGGTCTCAGCTCCAGACCTCGGGGCTGTGAAGGAGCCGCCGGCTTGGAAGTCCTGGGAGGAGGTGGAGCAGGTTCAAGGCCAGAGGGACAGAGCTTGTCCCCAGGCTGCTCACACCTGGGCCGACCTGGATGTGCCGGAGGGGGCGGCTCCGGGTTTCCGCTGAGTCTCCACCCCACATCCACACTGAGAAATCCCTCAGAGCAGCATCCACGGTGGTGGCCGCTTCCTGGTACCTGTCGTGCATGGCCCGTGGCTTCCTTTCGGTTCCACACAGGGCTTTGGCAGCCTGGTGGGGGTCGGGGCGCGCCTGAGGGGAACCCTGCTTGAGGCGCTGTGTGGCAGGGCCCACAGATGTGTTCACGTCTTCCCTGACTGTCCACCGGTCCTTCAGAAGAGGGGACTCGGGGCAGTGAGAGGCAGGCCCCAGGAGACTGACCTCAGAGCCCCGGACAGTTCTCTCTGCGGCCCTGAGCTGGCCTCAGGACTCTTGAACGTTAGCAACTGCCATTTCCGCCCCAGGAAATTCGTCGTCACGAAAGGCAACATAGCTCAGATGTACCACGCTCCTGGGAGGAAGCGGGAGTTCAACGCCTTTGTCCTGGACAAAACCTACTTTGGGCCATACGATGAGACCACGCACATTGACTGGACAGACGACTCTCGGTGAGGCCTGGGTGGGTGGCCAGGGGGGCCTGAGGGGCCCAGAAGGGCCTGTAACAGCCTCTTGTTAGAGAGGTGACAGCTGTCACAGCCCGGAGTCCTTTTGAAGTGGCCGCTCCTGAGCCTCGTGTGGGGCTGGGTGCAGGCAGGGCGCCAGCTGGAGTTTACCCGCACCGCCTGGCACCGATCGCGGAAACCAGGGGGAGGGCCTGGGCCCTGACGGGGAAGCAATGCCCGACCATGTGGCCGAGTCTGTGCCAGCAGGTGTCCCAGAGCCGTGGACAGGTGGGCGAGCCTCTCCCAGCATGGTGCGGGGTGACGCCGGCCCTCCTTCCCGGCCGCCATCCCAGAGGCGCCTGCCTGCGTGCGGCTTTCGCAGCCGCCCCTCGCCTGTGTCCGGGGAGCCGCGGAGTCGGGTGGCTGCTGCTGTGCACATCGGGCCAGCTGGCCTCCGGTCCCCGGCCGCACAGAGGGGCGCAGTCCCAGGCAGTGTCAGCGCCCCGAGACCGAGCCTTCTCTCACAAGGCTCCTGGGTCTGCTTCTGTTAAGATCGGGGGGGGGGGGGGGTCAGGGAGGCTTAAGGAGCAGGCTTCCCGGCTGACCTGTGGGGACTACCTTTCGAGGAAGGACAGTGACACGTGTTCACCAAGGCTCCTGGTCCCAGGAGACACTGATGGAGGTAGCCAGCGCCCCTGACCTTGCTCAGCTGGAGCCTGGAGGATGAGCCATGTTTCTTCTGTCCAGGTGCTTCGCAGTCGGGAGCAAAGACATGTCCACGTGGGTGTTTGGGGCCGAACGCTGGGACAACCTCATCTACTACGCATTAGGGGGCCACAAGGATGCCATCGTGGCCTGCTTCTTTGAATCCGGCAGCCTAGACGTATGTCCCTGCACCCAGAATCCCCAGCCCCACGATCTCGGGTCATGGCCATGAGTGAGACGAGATGCTGGGCCCTTGTAGATCGGTGGTTCTCGACCTTCCTAATGCCACGCCCTTTAATACAGGTCCTCACCTTGTGGTGACCTCCAACCATAAAATTCCTTTCGTTGCTACTTCATAACTTTAATTTTGCTACTGTTACGTCTTAGGCGACCCCTGTAAAGGGTCGTTCAACCCCCGAAGGGGTTGCGACCCATAGGTTGAGAACTGCTGCTGTGGATGTAGGTGCCCCTCCCGGGTCCGTTGGGGAATGGGTGGTGGCTGCTTGTTGGGAGTCGTCTCTCCCAGTGCGTGGGCGAGGCTTTGGCAGAACGATGAACGGTTCCTGTCAGGGCTGCCTGTGGGCGGTGTGGCTTGGGGACAGGGTGACAGTGCCCACCGTGTCTCCACCTGCAGCTCTACACGCTCAGCCAGGACGGAGCCCTGTGTGTGTGGCAGTGTGACACCCCCCCGGAGGGGCTGAGGCTAAAGGCCCCCACAGGCTGGAAGGCGGACCTGCTGCAGAGGGAGCAGGAGGAGGAGGTGGAGGAGGAGGGGGAGCAGGAGACCACTATCCGAGGGAAAGCCACACCGGCCTCGGAGGAGCAGCAGGGCAAAGTGAAGTACTCTCGTCTGGCCAAGTAAGTCTCCCATCCGGAGGGTGGAGGGCCTCGGACCTCAGGCACAAGTGTGACTCTTACCTGGAAGGGACCCAGATGGGCAGTCGCGGGGGCGGGGCCCGTCCTAGGGATCAGGGCTCCAGAGTACAGCTGAGGGGCTGCCTTGGGACCCGCGCGCAGCGTCAGGGAGGCTTAGGGCGTGGAGAGCTGAGGGCATGTCCACGGGGGTGTTTGGGGTGTTTGAGGAGCTAGGGGACTGGAGACAGCATGGTCAGGGCTCTGGCCTCGGGCCCGGGGGCCGTGAGACCAGCCTGGCTCTCTGGTCCCCTCGCACAGCTCTGCTGTCCCTCTTCAGGTACTTCTTCAATAAGGAAGGAGATTTTAACAATCTGACAGCGGCGGCCTATCACAAGAAGACCCATCTCTTAGTCACTGGTTTTGCTTCTGGAATTTTCCACCTTCACGAACTCCCAGAGTTCAACCTCATCCACTCCCTGAGGTAGGTGCCTCTGCTCTCTGGTGGGTGTGTCTGCACCTGCCAGCCTGGGGGCCCAGTGGCAGGGCACCGGGTGCCGTCGTGCTGTGCCTGCCCTGACCTCAGGCCCTGGGACCGCAGGGGCAGCTTCCCGGGGCGCCTGCCTTCATTGCTGTCCTGGCCAGGTGCTCGGAGGGTTGGGGGGGACTCAGAGGTTGCTGCCCCACCCCCATCTCGGACGCACAGTCCCGCCCCCCTGGGCTTTGGTCCCACCTGTGGGTCCTGTCATTTTCATTTTTTGTTTTTGTTGTTTCCCTTCTGTATCTCTGGAACAGAGACAGTCAAAGTACTGGTTTCACAAAACTACGCGGCTTCGGGGATTCGAGGGCAGGGCGGGCTGTGGGTCCCCGGGGTTCTAACGGGAGTTGCTCACTCCCTGGGGGTGGGTGGGACGTGTGGGGCTCACAGGCGAGGGCAGGGTGGGCTGTGGGTCCCCGGGGTTCTAACGGGAGTTGCTCACTCCTTGGGGGTGGGTGGGACGTGTGGGGCTCACAGGCGAGGGCAGGGTGGGCTGTGGGTCCCCGGGGTTCTAACGGGAGTTGCTCACTCCCTGGGGGTGGGTGGGGGACGTGTGGGGCTCACAGGCGAGGGCAGGCTCTGCTCACCGAGTCCTGCTCTCTGCTCAGCGTTTCCGACCAGAGGATCGAGTCTGTCGCCATCAACAGCTCCGGGGACTGGATCGCTTTGGGCTGCTCAGGTTTGTCCTCCCGCCAGCCTGCTGAGGACAGGACGGAGCTTTTGCTCCGGGCCCTCCTGTGGCTCCACCTCGCCCGGGGCCCTGCTTGGAGCGGAGTGAGGGGTCGGCGGTGGCTCCTGCGAAGGAGCGGTCGGGGGAACTTCCAGACCGCGGCTCCGGGGGGCTGCCGCAGGTGCCCGCGCTCTGGGGGTCCGGAGGTTGGCGTGTCTGCGCCGGGTCCCCTCAGGTGGGGGGTGATGGGGGCACCTGCCCCAGGGTAGGGGGGCCTGAGCCAGGGCTGCACCCACCCGGAATCTCACGGGCAGTGGTGCCTTCGCCTGCCCGTGGGACGGTGTCGTGAGTCCCCAGCTCACCCCCCTGTGCCCGCAGGCCTGGGCCAGCTGCTGGTGTGGGAGTGGCAGAGCGAGTCCTACGTGCTCAAGCAGCAGGGCCACTTCAACAGTATGGTGTCCCTGGCCTACTCCCCTGACGGCCAGTACATCGTGACCGGGGGGGACGACGGCAAGGTGGGCTGTGGGCCTTGGGATCGGGCTGGTAGAGTGGGAGGAGCGGTGGGTCCTGCCCGTCCTGAAGGCCCAGCCTCAGCTGCGGGGTTCAGCTCGCCTCTTCCGAGCTTGGGCAGAGGCGTTTAAAACTTACTGATCGGAGTGGAGTGGCTTCCGGTGTCTTTCCCTGACGGGCTCCCACACGTGTACCTACTGGGATGAGGGGTCTGTGGTGCCACTGGCCGCCCTCTGTCGTGCTGCACTTCCCAGGGTGCCACAGGGCTCCCACTACCCCCAGCCTCCCTCCCTGGGGGGGGAGGGCGAAGGGCAGGTGGACTCTCCAGCCGCGTGTCTGCCCCGGATGTGCGTGCCTGGGAGAGGGAGCCACGCTGAGCCCACCTGCTCTCACCCTGCTCTCCGTAGGTGAAGGTGTGGAACACCCTCAGTGGCTTCTGCTTCATCACTTTCACGGAGCACACGAGTGGGGTCACCGGCGTGACCTTCACCGCCACGGGCTACGTCATTGTGACTTCTTCCATGGACGGGACTGTGCGGGCCTTTGACCTCCACAGGTGACCTTTCTGCTCAGTCCCTGGCTCAGAGCAGGTTGTCCGTCTGCGCTGGGCTTTGAGAGCGAGGCCGAGGGCTCCGTGATCGCCGGGCAGCCTGCGCTGTGGACCTGCGGGTGACGCTGCGGCATTCGGGCCCAGGGACACAGGCGTCAGGGACCTCAGTGAGCGGTGTCAACCGGGTCTTTCTCCGTGCAGGTACCGGAACTTCCGCACCTTCACGTCCCCGAGGCCCACCCAGTTCTCCTGCGTGGCGGTGGACTCGAGCGGGGAGATCGTCTCCGCCGGGGCCCAGGACTCCTTCGAGATCTTCATCTGGTCCATGCAGACAGGCCGGCTGCTGGAGGTGAGGGCCGCTCGCCCCCAGCTGTGCTCTAGAGTGGGCGGGGCGCGGACACCGCAGGTGCAGGAAGGACACTCCGAGGGAGTGGGGGGCAGAAGCCACAGCTGAACCCAGCTTTCTGGCCTCACTGCCTGCTTTCCTTCTCGTCCCTCAACTGGAGCGCTCGGGTCACACTCAGCAGTCACAGCACCTGCCGGGCTGCTTGCCGACGCTCCCATCTCAAACCTCCTCAATGAACTGTTGTAGGTCTTGTCTGGCCACGAGGGGCCCATCAGCAGTCTGTGTTTTAACCCGATGAAGTCGGTCCTGGCCAGCGCCTCCTGGGATCGGACAGTGCGTCTGTGGGACATGGTGGACAGCTGGAGAACCACGGAGACGCTGGCTCTGACCTCCGATGGTGAGCTGTGTCGGGGGTGGTGGGCGGAAGTCGTGCCCCAGGATAGGAAGGCCTAGTGTCAGTGCCGGTTCTGCCCGCCTTGGCTGTGTGTCCGGCTGTAAGCCCAGGACTCCCAAAGGCCCGCAGCTGTCGGGTTGGCAGCCAGTTGCGTCCTTTGCATCGGGTTCCCCCTGGGACACGGAGCTGGGCTGAGCCGCCACTTCCTGCCACTTCTGCACTGGCCGCAGAAAGCAGTAGGTACAGGAGGCCTGAGGGCGGGCTGGGCAGGCCCTGCCACCTGAGTCCCCCCACGGTGTGTGCATGAAGTCCCTGTGGGCACCAGCAGCGCGGGCCTCCGCCCTGTGGCTGCTCCCCTGCAGCAGCAGAGGTAACTGAGCTGTCTGGCCCTGCACAGAACACATTTGCCTGCCCTGGGGCCCTTGGTCTCTGTGCCACCCACTGGCTCTGGTGTGGTCTCTTAGCAGCCGGCCTCCTGTCTTTGTAGGACCTCCACCTCCGGTAGTCTGTTTCCGGTCTGTTCTGCAATTCCATCAGAACTTTTGCTGTGACCTCTGTGTGACTCACCTGTGCCCAGCCTTGCCTCCCACCCTGCACCCTCCCACCAGGCTGGCCCTGCTTAGTCCTCCCTGTACCCATCTTGTGGCCAAGCCTGGACCCCTTTGCCCCAAGACAGCTGGGGCCCTGTCTGCACATGTAGCTGGTGTGGTTGTGAGCTGTTGGTGCTGAGGCCAGGGTCCTTCCCCCTGGGGTGGAGCATCACCGGGAGAGCTTGTGTGGCCCCATCCCGCCACACCCAGATCCAGCAGGGAGCCGGTGGTGAGGACAGCGAGGGGGTGGCCCGGCCGCTGGAGCCTGGAGTCTTCTCAGATCCTGGTTCTGCATCTCTTCTCAGCTCTGGCTGTGACCTTTCGCCCCGATGGTGCAGAGCTGGCTGTGGCCACACTGAACTCTCAGATCACTTTCTGGGACCCTGAGAACGCCGTGCAGACGGGCTCCATCGAGGGCAGGCATGACCTCAAGGCGGGCAGGAAGGAGCTGGACAAGATCACCGCCAAGCACTCCTCCAAGGGGAAGTGAGTGCCGGGGGGCGTCCTTCCCAGGGGTGTGGCTGGGGGGCAGGCGAGCCCCCGGAGCCCGCAGCTTGCTCAGCAGGGGCGCACAGCCTGTGCGGGTCAGTAGATGGCAGTGTCCTTGCACTTGGGCCAGGTGAACAGCGCTGCTCTGGGCATTCGAGGACCGATTGTGTGACTATGTGTCCAGTCCTGTTGGGTCTGTTGCTGGGTGTGGAGTTGCTGGGTGACTTAGGGCGACACACACTTTTTGAGGAACTGCCAGATGCTTTTCCAAAGATGCAGGCCCATTTCCCACGCGCCCCACGCTCACCAGCACGGGCTGCCTGGCCTTTCAGGTTGCAGCCGTTCTGGTGGGTGTGGGGCAGGATCTTGTGGTTTTGCTTTGAGCATCTTTTCGGGGCAGACTGGCCACGTGACTGTCGACTTTGGAGACACATGTCTCCCAGCATTTGCCCTTTTAAATTGGGGTGCCTTTCTCGTTGAGTTGTAAGAGTTCATATTTGCAGATATGTTCTCCCATTCGATAGGTTGTCTTCACATTCTTAATGATGTCCTTTGAAACACAAAGGTTTTCAATTTTGAAAACATCCAGTTCAAAGGGTGGCCTCCTTTACATTCTGACTTCAACAAGGACATGCCTTGACTTGGACCATGTGGCCCTTTTGTGCCAAGGTCGTGCTCCCAGGAGGCTACAGCACACGAGGTGTCGTCGTGTGTCGTCGTCCCCCCCCCCCCGGGTGGTGCTGCCCCAGAAGGAGCAGGATGGACTTGTGGACTGCAGGGTTACAGTCCTGTGGTTGGCTAGGTGGAGGCTGCTGGGAACGTGGTGGGAGGGCCACGCGTCCGAGGCCCCTGGGTGGTGGCTGAGTACGAGCCCCTGCGCTGCAGGGCCTTCACCACTCTCTGCTACTCCGCGGACGGCCAGAGTGTCCTGGCAGGAGGCATGTCCAGGTTCGTGTGCATCTACCACGTCAAGGAGCAGATTCTCAGGAAGAAGTTTGAGATCTCTTGCAACCTGTCTCTGGACGCCATGGAGGTGAGTGAGCAGTGGGGGCTCAGGCCCGGGGCGGGGCGGGGCTGTGGTCTGAGCACACGAGGTGGCCAGCTCCCCCTCCTGTGTGTTTCTGGGGGAAGTGCCCTCGGTGTGTCCTGACGGCACGCGCTTCCCCATGCCCCCCTCACGGGGGCTCTGCCCGGCAGTGCCAGGCTGCGAGGGAGGCTCTGCCATGGAGCTGGCTTGTTGCTGTCTCTCCTCGGGGTCCATGTCCTGTGTGGCTCCAGACAGGCCGGGGTCTCCTTCAGCGTTGTGCGCACGAGCAAAGGTGGGGAGACAGCCCCTACCCCACCTCTGATGGCAAGATGTCTGGGCTTTTGCTCTTCTAGGAATTTTTGAACCGAAGGAAAATGACAGAATTCGGCAACCTGGCGCTAATTGATCAAGACGCTGGAGAGGAGAACGGAGTTGCAATACCCTTGCCAGGCGTGAGGAAAGGTGAGCAGAGGTCCCTCGTGTCCCCCGTGGACCTGCCATAGCCATTGCTGGGCCACAGCAGTTTTGCTCGCTTGTTGATGCTGCAGTGGTGGGGTCTGGGAGCTCACTGCACACGCGTGGTGTTGCTGGAGGCTGGGGCTCGGAAGCCTCCCTGTGCATTGCTGCGCAGCTGCGGCCTCCTCGCCTCGGGCCTCCGTGCTCCCCGGGCCAGCCCCACCCTGTGCCTTGCCCCCCACATGGCCCACAAGGACTCCAGCGTTGGGGTGCTGCTAGTCCAGAAGGCCTGAGGGGTACACGTGCCTCACAGACTGGGCAGCAGACTCCAAGCCCTTGGCCTAGGTGGACCATCGAGAAGGGACACCCATCGGCCCAACTGCCCACACGTGGCTCGGTATTGCAGCAGCTGACCTGGGCCCGATGTGTTCTAGTCCTGGCTCACGCCCACTCCAGGCACCTGGGGCCTGCCCTCAGGGAGTGAGGGTGCTTCAGCTGGCTGGGGGTGGGAGGACCCAGGAGAGCTGAGAGTCCAGGGCAGGCCATGCTCCGCCGGGCACAGGGCACTGCTCCTCTGCACCGTGGTGGCAGGCCTGCGCCGCACAGCCCCGAGCGCCCCCCGGAGGGCGGTTCTCCACCTGTCCGGGGGCGTTTGGGTGCTCACAGCTTAAGGGGGTGTTGCTGTTGGTGTTGAGTGTAGAGAGACCAGAGCCCTGAGGACCCACAAGGACTTGGCTCCAAACGTTGGTCATCCTGAGGTGGAGAGCGTCTGGCGATATATTTGGGGGTGGGGCCCATGGAAGGTGGCTGTGGTGGCCTCCAGGAAGGCCTCCAGGTGGCCGAGTGCTGGGCACTGAGGAGACGGACCTTTCACAGGTCACCTTTTGAGTTGTGAGGTTTCATACCGTGGGAACGTGTTGCCCTTGGAAAGCTAACTTGAAAGTGAAGTGCCAGGGGGGCTGCGCCCCCGTCCGGACGCCCCCTGCAGTCATGCGGTGTGTCACTGCCCAGGGCGGGGCAGGGCCTCCCGCCTCGCAGCCCCCCATCCAGACACATCGTGCGGCTTGTCACTGCCCAGGTGGGGGCAGGGCCTCGCCTTGCAGCCCCCCATCCGAATGCCCCGTGCGGCCTGTCACTGCCCAGGTGGGGGCAGGGCCTCGCCTTGCATCCCCCCATCCGAATGCCCCGTGCGGCATGTCACTGCCCTGGTGGGGACAGGGCCATCTGGACACCCCGTGCGGTTGTGCAGCCTGTCACTGCCCATTTGGGGGCGGGGCCTCGCCTTGCAGCCCCCCATCCGAATGCCCCGTGCGGCGTGTCACTGCCCAGGTGGGGATGGGGCCTCCCACCTTGCAGCCCAGGCTGGGCACACGTCCCTTCCCAGCACAAATATGCCATTCACTGGCCAGGCCCCGTGCCCACAGGCGCATCAGAGGTGCCCATGAAATAGCACCTGAGGGGCCAGCACCAGGCTCACCTGCTGCATCTTCGAACGGGTGGAGGCCAGTGGCAGGGCTGCCACCTGGGCAACAAGCGGACCGGTGGCCCTCCCTTGTCGGGTGAGTGCCGTGCTGTGCTGTCCTGTAACGAGTGGCTCCTTTGATGTCCAGGTGACATGAGCTCTCGACACTTCAAACCTGAAATCAGGGTGACTTCACTCCGCTTCTGTCCCACAGGTGAGCCCACATGGGGTTGTTGGTGCTGGAAGGGGTGGGCGGGCATGGGGACCCATACTGCACGGAGGGCCTGTCACCATCTCTGCTCCTGAGGACGATGTCGGGCCCAGGGCTTCTGACAAGCTCTGTCTGGGCTGCACTGTCCACCATGCATAAGACGTGGTCATCTTTGTCCCCTCTGGATGGCTAGGAAAGCTGTGAGCTCAGGTGGGCTGGGCTCGGCAACAGGCGGCAGGCACCTGCCCTGAGCACCCTTCACGTGTGCCAGTTTGGACCGTCCTGGAGGGCCGCCTCCTTGTCCCCCATCAAGTAACTTGCTCCCCCACCCTGTCCCACCACTGAGTGTCCAGCAGATCGTCTCTGGTGGCGGCGGGGGAGGATCAGTACCCCCAGGGCCTGGGGCCGTTAAGTGCATGCAGGCTGTAGACCAGAGCAGGATGGGTTGCAGTGGGCTTGTCTTTACTAGCTGATGGCTGACCCTGTCCAGCATGGAGTGACGAGGACAGTAAGGTGCAGAGCAGCACGTGGCACAGCACCTCTGGGTGAGCCAGGGGTGCAGATGGCAGCCGATGGACAGGTCTGGTACCACCCGGTCTTATAAGTAAAATTTTATGGACCAGCCATGCCAGTTTGAGCATTTTGTTCGGGCACTGTGGGGGAGGACACACTGCAGCAGAGACCACGTGGCCCGCAGAGCTGGAAGTGTCTGCCCTTGACAGGAAAGTCTGCCAAGCCTGCCCCTGTGAACGAGGCAAGGCACCCGCGTGTCTGCTCCCACGCACACAGTGCCCAGGAGGACAGCCTGCTGCAGTGACCCAGGTGCTCCTCCCAGAGACCTGGTGGCTGGGGCAGGGACGAGAGGAAGATGTCCCCGTGCTCCTGTGCTGCTGCACTGGGGACCACGGAATGTGTTCAGCACCTGTTCCTTAAGACAAATGAGGAACAATGAGCCACTCGACCCCTTCACTTCGCAGGGCGCTGCTGGGCAGCCACCACCACCGAGGGGCTCCTCGTCTACTCCCTGGACACCCAGATGCTCTTTGACCCGTTTGAGCTGGACACCAGTGTCACCCCTGGGCAGATCCGGGCAGCGCTGCGCCAGAGTGACTTCACCAGGGCCATCCTGATGGCCGTCCGGCTCAATGAGAAGAAGCTGCTGCAGGAGGCCCTGGAGTCAGTGCCCTGGGACGAGAGTGAGCGCCAGGCCTGGCTGGGTGGGGTTGGAGGAAGCTGCCGGGACCCTGCCCCACACCCACCGCTCAGGGCTCTGGGGTTCTGTGCAAATACAGAGGACATAAGCTGTGATGGGCTTTTCTCCTGGTTTGCGTTCTTTGCAAAGTGAGCGTGGGTGTCCTTTCTTACAGTTGACGTTATCAGCTCCTCCCTCCCCGAGTTGTACGTGGAGAAAGTGCTTGAATTTTTGGCTTCGTCCTTTGAAGTGTCTTGCCATCTAGAATTCTACCTCATATGGACCCAGAAATTGCTCATGGGGCACGGACAGAAGCTGAAGTCCAGGTACGATGTGCTGATCTGCGCGTTTGTCTGTGGCTCCTGTCACAGCCGATCTTTGCTGATTAAAAGGGAAACTTGACCTGCAAGTGTGGCGTGAAGTGAGGCCCTCTGCATGCACGTGTGGTGTGACATGAGGCCTTTGGATGCCAACACAGCACCGAGGCCGTGACACGCACACTCGTGAGGAGGGAGGCCGTGGGCTGTTTCACTAAGGGAAGTCTCCTCCCAGAGCAGGGAAGCTGCTGCCGGCAGTGCAGTTCCTTCAGAAGAGCATCCAGCGGCACTTGGACGACATCTCCAAACTGTACGTTTTACCGGCGGCGTCGGTGGGCAGGGTGGGCCCGCGTTTAGGGACAAAAGGTACCAGCGTTGGAGGTGCTTGTTCCCTCGCTACCAGTGAACTGAATCTGCCGGACCTGCCCACAGTGGGCCTCGAGGTTGGCAGCTTCAGATCAGGCCTGGGATCGAAAACAAAGGAAGCGCTCAGTGCAACGAGCACCAGCTGTGCTCACCCACGTGGGGGAGGGTGTGCTGGGGGAGGGTCAGGAGCTTTGTCCTTCTGTGCCCAGGCGGCTTCATGCTCCTGTACTCTGGCCCCTCTGCTCAGGCTGAGTGGAGCCATGAAGGCCTCACAGCTTGGCCTCTCCTCGGAGGGGTTCTTCCCCCCACCACTGACTGGGCGAGTGGAAGGAGGTGCTTTTGTCAAGATCCCAGCTCCCTTCCAGAACATGTGTCTCTACCCTGCTCGTGTCTACCCTGCATCGACTCGGGCCCCACAGTCCTCCCGTCCTGTGGTCGGTTCTTCAGTCTTCCCGAGTCCAGAACAAGCCCTTCCCCCCGAGGCTTTTCTTCCCGTGTCCTGGCTGCCCACATGAACACCACGGCGGAGAGGGGCTATGTTCTCCGCCACCCATCAGAGGAAGCCTTCCTCTTGTGGACACATCCGTGACTCCACAGCGCTCCATCCACGAGGCCTGCTGCCTCCTGGTGGGCCACGTCCTTGTTTCGGGTTACTGTGCATGCGTTGTTCTTGGACTTCAGTTTCTCCTTCCCTCCTGCTGTGGGTCTGTTACGTGTTGGTTCGAGGGGACGCTCCGTGTGTGCTGCCCGTCCTCGGGTCCGTGTTAGAGTTTGCAGAGGTGCACTTTGGTCTGTCTCATCCTTTCCCCTTTGTTTGTCCTTACTGCTAGTTTTTTACATTGCTAGGATCCTGTGGTTTTTCTCTTTGTTCTCTTAATGTGGGAATTAGTGTCCCTGTTGGCTCCCAGCCTGTTCTTCCTCGGGTTCGGGTGGGACTGACTGGTGAAGTGGTCTGGGTCGGGCCCAGGGAAGGGCAGAGGCAGTGAGGACACACCAGTAGGACTGGGTCTTACAGTTGGGTCCTTGAAGGCCACTGTCCCAGGGCTGAGTGGGTAGACACCCGTCACTGGGGCAAGGATGAGAGGAGGAAACGCGGGGCAGATGGAGCCTCAGGCAGCCCATGGATGGCCATTCTCAGGGTCACAGAGGGTGGTGGGGTGCCGGGGGAGCCAGCATTCCCGGGGGAGAAGTCACTCCTGCTTTCACTGATGTGGGCCCTGCATGTTCACAGCTGTGACTGGAACCGATACAACATTCAGTACGCTCTGGCCGTTTCCAAGCAGCGGGGCGTGAAACGCCCCCCAGAGCCACCCGGAGCTGCGGAGGAAGCAGACGTGTCTGATGATAGCATGCACCTGCTTGGAGGACACGGGGATGAGGACGATGCGGACATTCTGTTGGTGTAGAGCTGCAACCTTGCTCATTTTGGTTAAGACCCTGGAAGAGAGAGAACCACAGCTGCCTGGGCCCAGGAAGTGAGTGGACGGCCACTGGGGGAGCTGTGGGACCACTGTCGCCAAGGACTCAGTCTTGTTCTTAACAACCAAACATCTGAGAGCGAGCTGAGGGCCCTGGTCAGCACAGGCTCGGCACACGGGGCCCAGGACCTGATGGTGTGAATTAAAAAACGCTGAGCATCTGCTATTGAAAATGCCTTTTGGAGAGACAGATGGGTTCTGTTTATAGACTTGTGAACTTTGTATGAAAGCTATTTATATTTCTAATATAAAGTTTAGATGATAAATTTAGAGATTAAAAAATGGGATTTTCAAAAATGTAAGTATGGATTGAGTCTAAACTCTGAATTAAATGTTTATAGTGTGTCCTGAGTGTAACTGTCATGCAGGGGAACAGGTGAGCAGGGCAGGTGGATAGCCTGCCATGCCCCGGCCCTCATGGCCCCCAGCCTAGGCCCCCTGCCCTGCAATCTCTCCATAGGGTCAGGGCAGGGAGCATCTGCTCGACTTTGACCTTGGACAAGGACCAGCTGGGCCTCCTGGGGAGCTCACTCAAACCTGCTGTGCCAGCTCTGCCCTGCGGTGGCCCCTGGGAGGGGTCAGTGAGAGTAGCTTGGACCAGCATCGCCACACCCAAGTACCTGATCCCCCTGGCTTGATAGCAACAGCCTGAGGTGCAGTGCTTCCCTGAGAACGTGCAAGAACAGTATCTGTGGGCGCCGCCCTGTCGCTTATCAGGTGCAGCCCGGTCACTGGACAGCCTGGCCCTCCTGTGCTCTTCAAAGTGGATACCTGCCCACCTCCCTAGGCTTATGTGAGGCCTGACTGGCCAGGTACGAGTAGTATGTGACACCTAGTGCACCAGTGTCTGTTGCCGCTGCCACCACCCAACAGGAAAGCCCCCTAGAACCTGCTCTTGGGCTCTGTAACCAGTCCATACACTCAGTGTGTGTGCTCAGGCTGGGTGGTGGTTCCTACACACCTTCCCCACCTACAACATAGGCTGGATAGATGCATTCCTCCCTCTTCACCCTAGCTTTTCCTCTAAGCTTCGAGTGCACAGTGAAGTCCAGCTGCGCAGACCCCCTGGAGGTAACAGGAATGAAAGGGGCAGCTCAGCAGATGGGGCCAGGAGCAGCAGCCCCAGCGTGTTGCCTCCAGCTGTGGCCATTCAAATCATCTGTTAAAAACCTGTTAGCTTGAAACTTGGTAAACCAAGGGAAAGATAAAGCATCTATCCAGGCGCTTGTCTGAATTGACTCCTGGATAACTGGGGTCTTTATTAACGTACCTGAAGGAATGAGAATGTCCCCGTTCTGCAATCAGTGCGAGGGCGCAACCGAACATGCAGGGCAGGGGGTGCACTGACTCGGGCTCCTGCTGCAGGACACGCGCCCCCTGGGGCTATCCCAGTGAGAGGGGTCCTGGGGGGGGGGGACAATTTACAGGAGACCCGAGGACGGCTGTGTCGGGGACACGCACAGCAAAAACCCATATGGCAGGCCCAGGGGGCGACGCGAGGCTGCACAGGATCGCAACGCCAACAGATGGACACCCGAGAGCCTCGGACGTCTGAGCGCCGGCTCCCTGCTGCTCGGGATCCTGACACCGGCTATTTCTGCGCAGGGGCGCGGCCCCGGGCCCGCCAGAGCTGGGAGCGTGCGGCCAGACGAGGGACAGTGCGGGGGCTGGAGGGGCGAAGGGCGAGCGCCTGGCGGCCCCAGCGGCCGCGCGGACCAGGGGAAGTAACTTCCCAGCTCTCCTGGGGTGAGGCGCGGCCCCGCCCACCGGCGCTCTCGCGGAGGGAACAGGGCGACTGCGCAGGCGCGGCCCCGCCCACCGGCGCTCTCGCGGCGGGAACAGGGCGACTGCGCAGGCGCGGCCGGGCTCATTCCGCGCGGGTCTCCTCCACTGTGACCCTCCGACCCCGCGCGGCCATGGCGGCTGTCAGGGCCCTGGTGGCTCCCCGGCTGGCGGCGGCGGCGGCCTCTACGTTCGCGCCGCTCCCCGGTCTGCGGCCCCGTGGACCGGCGTCCTACCCGCGCGCGGCCTTCCACGGCTCCGCGCCGCGGCCCGGGCCCAGGGTCGCGCTGGTGAGTGCGCGCCGCGGGGACAAGGGGCGGGGCCGCCGGAGGGCGGACACCCCCGGCCCCGCACCCGAGCGGGAGCGGCCTCCCACCCCCGCCCGAGGTCAGCCACCTCCACCACGGGCCTGCCTGTGACCCGCGCTCCTCCCGCAGGTGCTGTCCGGGTGCGGAGTCTACGACGGGACGGAGCTGCACGAGGCCTCAGCGTAAGCCCCTCTGCGCGGCCGCCCGGGGAGGGGGCCTGCTCCGCTGTTTGCAGAAACCCTTCCCGGCCCAGGAAAGCGGAAGTGACTGACAGACGCAGGAGGCACACCGGAGAAGTTTAAACACATCTGTAAAGTACAAGGAGACACAGGATACGTTTTGAAGTAACTCCCTTCGGGTGATTTGAACACCCCCCGTGTTACAGACACGGATCTGGTGCCTGAGTGTCGGGGCTGGTTTTTCCTCCCGCACCAGCCTGTTTTCCATCCACACGGCGCCCTTGAGCACTCTTGGCTGTGGACGCTGTCCCTGATGTAACTTGTCAGCAGTCGCTGAGTCGTTTGCATTGATTTTTTTAAAAAAATCCGCACCCGAGGACATTTTTTCAGTTTTTGTTCAGGTTGAGTGGGAGGGAGAGAGAGGAACAGAGAGAGAGAGAAAAACATCGACGTGAAAGGGACACATTGAGTGGCTGCCACCCACACAACCCAACCAGGGCCGGGGACAAACTGCAACCGAGGTGCATGCCCTTAGTGGGAACGGAACCCGGGTCTCTTGGGACCGCAGGCCAATGCTCTAATCACTGAGCCAAACTGGCCAGGGAAGCATTGATTTTTAATCTTATTAAAAGTTGCTGTGAGCAGGGCCAGGTAAGGCCGTCAGGTCCGCAGTAAGTTCCAGGTGGTGCAGGTGGTGGTTGGGGAATGACCCTTCCTTCTCAGGCTTAGGTCCTCCTGGGCACTCAGGAGCCTGGGGCTGTTGGCTGTGTGTGGCCTCCGAGCTCTTCCTTCCTGAGTGGCCAGTGTGTGCTGGTGTTGGCGCTGGAGAAGGCGTGAACTTCAGCAGGCGCAGAGCTGGTGGGTGGCAGAGGACCAGGAGAGGTTCCTGATGGGGGCTGAGGGTGGGGAAACTAGAGAGTGGCGGGAGCAAGGAGTAGCTGGGAACAGTTTGAAATCTCCCAGCACGGACAAGGAGTTGTATGTGGAGGGCCCAGAAGGTTCTAAGCAGCAGAGCCTGAGTGAGTACCTGGGCAGTCCTGGCTCTGCTGGGCTTCTACCTCTTCCAAAAGGGGGCAGTGACAGCACCAGTCCAGGACTGATTGGCGAGGTATCCATGCCGGGCACAGAGCAGCCCTCCAGGAGACTTGCATGTCTCCGTGTTTCCCACCTTCATGACAGCAAAGTTGGGGGACACCAGGAATTGAAATTACTGTCATGATCCAAAGCCACCCCCACCAAACCTTTGAGCTCCACATCGATTGGCCTGTGGGAGGAAGACATCCCGCAGCAGCCGGTGAACCCAAACATCCAGACTGTGACACCAGCTGGGCCACCTTGCCCCTTGCAGTTTGTAAAAGGTGCACAGAGACCAGCTTGGTCTCTGCAGGCCAGTTCAGTGACAGTGAATTCAAATTGTGGGCGTTTGGGTCTTTAGCAAGCCAACCACAGCTTTTTGCCAAGCAAGGGGGGATGGATATTAACTACACAAGGAATTTATATCTGCCATTTGGCTAAAAGCCAGCTTTTAAAAACACATTGACAGGTAGAGCTGGGGTGGGCCTGTCTCAAAGCCTGGTGTGATTGCTTCCCTTGCAGGGTGCTGGTGCATCTGAGCCGTGGCGGGGCTGAGGTCCAGATCTTCGCTCCTAACATCCCTCAGATGCACGTGATTGACCACACCAAGGGGCAGCCTTCTGAGAGTGAAACCAGGTGTGGGTCTTACCTCTCGTTCTTGACTATGAACAGGGGCGGGTTGAAGCTCCCTGAGAACTTGCATGAGTAGCTGTTTCATCCCAGTCTCAACCAGATCTGTTCAGATGAACCCCTTCGTCCAGCGCGGTCGTCCCAGGCTGGTCTGTACGAACGCTCTGAGCCTCAGAGTGTTACCTCCAGTACTTAGCTCCCATTCCTTACCGAAACACATTCCCGATAAGAGAGCTCCATACTTTGTTCTGACCAAAGGTGTGTGCCTCAGTTTGGCTGCCCCTCACTCACCTGCCTGGGCCCCACATGTCTTTGAGTAGCTCCCACCAGTGTTTCTATTCCTGAGGCCCTGCGCACTCTGAAATCCAGCTTCCCCTCCTGTCCTGCGGGACCGCAGGGCAGTGGCGCCCGGAGGCTGTGATTCCCAGACACCTTCGGCTGGGGTCTGACAGTGAGCGATGGGCGAGGGGAGGAAACCGAAGCTCTGTCTGCTGGGGCTGTGGTCCTAGTCAGGATCCTTGGTTTCTTTTCTGCCCGGGACCCTGGCCTAGGGTGGCAGTGGCTCCCACTGTGGTTGCTGCACCCCCACCTCCGTCCTGTCCATCATCTCCCCACATAAGTGTAGTCTGCTTCAGGCACTTGGGGTCTGTCTTCCTGGTGGGCCCCGGCTGATGGGGGAGGCTCCAGGAAATTCGGGTGGGATCTGGAGGGTTCCAGGAGATGTGTACGTCCCTGGAGCGCTAGTGCCTTTTCTAGGCATTGATGTGAAGTTCACGTGTGAACGCTACTCCTGGAGCTGAGAACAACCAGCCTCCTATCTCGTGGGCTCCTTCCTGCCCAACCCCCATCTGTGTTGAACCTTGGCCTTTCTCTCTGCTCTTTCCCAGGAATGTTCTGACTGAGTCGGCAAGGATCGCCCGTGGCAAGATCACTGACCTGGCCCAGCTAAGTGCAGCCAATCACGACGCTGCCATCTTCCCTGGGGGCTTTGGAGCTGCCAAAAACCTGTGAGTGTTTGAGCTCGGGGCTTTGTGCTTTTTACCTGCAGCAGTAGATGGGGACCAGGTGGTGACATGCGCCACTGCTGAGGACTTGGGGTCTCAAGTAGCTGCTCTGACCGGGAACCACTGTGGGCTGCAGCTTAGGTCACATTTTGGCAATACTTGAATCTTCCTCTACCTGCTCCTTTCTGAGCCCTCCTGGCACCTGGCCAGTGTCACAGGTGTGAGTCCTCTGACCTAACCACGGTGCAGGTGGGTTTCCTCACAGCAGAAACAGTGTCTGCACATGTGTTCCTGGGGGCCATGGGGCCTGGGTAACTGCTTTTCCAGCTGCCTGACCGTCCTCATGAGCCCTTCGGGCGTTTGCCCCCGCAGCCAGATGGGAGCCTGGGCGGCCATCGCTGTGCCATCCTTTGGGTTTCAGATCCTTTCTTTTCTCTCATCTCTCGTCTCTTTCTGTGTGTTACATGGAGATTGCCTGCACCAGCCTCGCTGTCACAGCTCTCCCGTGGTAGCACGGCTGCTGCGGTGACGGGGCTCACGTCACAGCCGTCACAGCTCTCCCGCGGTGGCACGGCTGCTGCGGTGACGGGGCTCACGTCACAGCCGTCACAGCTCTCCCGCGGTGGCACGGCTGCTGCGGTGACGGGGCTCACGTCACAGCTCTGCTGCGGTGACGGGCTCCCCTCACAGCTCTCCCGCGGTGGCACAGCTGCTGCGGTGACGGGGCTCACGTCACAGCTCTCCTGCGGTGGCACAGCTGCTGCGGTGACGGGCTCACGTCACAGCTGTCACAGCTCTGTAAACACGCTGTAAACCTGACTACACGTGTCTGGTGGAAACACTACAGATCAGCAAATCAGGCCCTGGATCGAGCATTTTCCTGTGTCACTCATAAGAGCGTTCCTGTCCCAGGCCCAGGGTCTGTGGACAAACCGCCTGACTGACCACAGGCAGCCTCCCCACTGACCAGGCCATTCGCAGGCTCTGCAGCTTCCTTGCTCCCATCCTCTGCTGATGGCCCCCACGCAGCTCCCAGGAGTCACCACATCCTCTTGTTCTCTCTCCTCTGTCCCCTTGGCTCTCCCACCACCTCCCAGGCCCCGCCCAACTTCGGGTCCTCGCTGTGCTGTTCACACCTCCTCTGGCAGGTGTCCAGGGCCTGCCTCACCTCGGCACTCCCTCCTGCGCGACTCCTGTGGTGTTGGGCCCAGTTCCCAGCTGCCCCTTCGTGGACCCTCCGCCTCTCCCTGCACCCCTTCCCATCCTCCCCACGGGTTTCACTCGCATGTTGCCGCAGCCGCCATCACGTCTGGACCGCACACCTCCCCTACTGACCCACATTCCAGCTGCCTGCCCGAGTCCTGTTGGAACGTGAGCTGAGCCCCTCACCTGCCGGCAGAATCTGCCCCTTTTGTTGGGGGGAGGGGAGGTGGCACATGGGGTGCTTCAAGCCTCAGCCAGGGTCCTTGTTCATTGTTCCCCTTCACCTGTTGGGACAGTTGACTGCTTGGTCATTGCTGTTCCCCCTGCAGTGGCACAGTGACCCCCAGGCTGGCTCTGTCCATCTGGGCATCCTACATCCAGAAGTGACTAGCAGTGGTGGGCAGAAGTGGTTATGTTCCCTAAAGTGTGACTGCTCAGGGCCCTTCTGTGTCCTGAGTCCTTGAGGCTCCCCTCCGCCTTTCTCCAGATCCGCCTGTTTTTCCCCAGCCCCTAGAGGGCTTCTTTCCCCACCTGGAGCCCTGCTCCTGCCTCACACCCACACCCTATCCCCAAAACCGGCCTTTGAAGTGATTTCCTCGTGTCACTGTCTGTGAGCCTCCTGGTAGGGATGGCGGAGACCTTCTGGGGCAGCAGGGCTCTTCACCCCCAAGGACCAGAGTTCCTCCTGGTGGGGGTGGTGGAGACCCTCTGGGTCAGCAGGGCTCTTCACTCCTCAAGGACCAGAGTTCCTCCTGGTGGGGGTGGCAGAGACCCTCTGGGGCAGCAGGGCTCTTCACCCCCAAGGACCAGAGTTCCTCCTGGTAGGGATGGCGGAGACCCTCTGGGGCAGCAGGGCTCTTCACCCCCAAGGACCAGAGTTCCTCCTGGTGTGGAGGGCGGAGACCCTCTGGGGCAGCAGGGCTCTTCACCCCCAAGGACCAGAGTTCCTCCTGGTGTGGAGGGCGGAGACCCTCTGGGGCAGCAGGGCCTTCACTCCCCAAGGACCAGAGTTCCTCCTGGTGGGGAGGGCGGAGACCCTCTGGGGCAGCAGGGCTCTTCACCCCCAAGGACCAGAGTTCCTCCTGGTGGGGAGGGCGGAGACCCTCTGGGGCAGCAGGGCTCTTCACTCCCCAAGGACCAGAGTTCCTCCTGGTGGGGTGGTGGAGACCCTCTGGGTCAGCAGGGCTCTTCACTCCCCAAGGACCAGATTCCTTTCAGAAGGATGAGCTCGCTTCACAGAACATGTGCCCTGCCTCTGCCCATCAGCACCACCCCTGGGCGTGTCCCCAGCGCGGCTGGCACATACCTGGTGCGCCGGGTTCTTGGTGCATCTGTGTCTTGGTGTTCAAGGACGTGGGGACAGCCTGGGCCAGCATGCACATCTGTGAGCTCTCATCGTTCTGCGGGGAGCTCCGACTTCCGGTCATCGCCCTCATTCTCTCCTGCCTGCCCAAAAGAAAGACCAGCTCCCACATCGGTGGTCTCCTGCGCGGTGGTGCTGTGGGCATTGGGGTGCAGCCTGTGCAGCGGTTCAGCAGTGACTCAGTTCCTCCTGCTTGGGACCCTCGGCCCCTCCCTGGCACTGCTGCGTAGCTTGTGTGTGTCCTGAGGGGTCACATACGTGGTTGTGTTAATAGCCCCTTAAGCTCCCTGTTCTGCACTTTGCATCTCGCCTGACCGCGTGGCTTGTGGTCCATGATGGTCCAGCAGCTGTCCATGATGGCCCCTGGGTGGGTGACCCAACTGTGATGGATGCTTGTGATGTCCAGTCCTCTGTTAATAGTTTTTTGGAGGTACAGTTGACATACATGTACCTCAAGTGTGAAATGATACACTTTGACACATCAGCATAGTGGCACCAGTCAGTCCTTTGTGCTGACGCCATGCAGTGTCCGGGATGGAGGAGTGGGACCCACAGACGGAGCACGGGGAAGCCAGAGTGTGACTCTTGGCGAAGAGGGTGGACTTTGAAATTGGCGGGTCCCACCCAGTTGCCTTCCATAGAGGTGGCACGGGCAGGTGTGTACCCACCGACCGGGAGGGAGACTGCTCGGCTGCTGGCGCTCCTGCTCTGGAGAAAACGGCGATGTCTTGTTTATCTGGCATTTCTGTTCCTTGTGAGTCAGGTGGACTGCCTGTCACTGTCTCTAGGCCAGTCGAACATCCTGCTGTCCCTGTGTCCGAGCAGACCTGTGAGGCCACGTGGCGTGGTTCGAGTCCTAGCCCACGGCTTGGGTTTGCTCTTGTGTCCACTTTCCCACCTCACCTCTGCTGCACGGCCTCTCTTCTCACTTTCCATGCTGCTTTCTCTCTCTCTCTCTCTCTCTCTTTTTTATCCTCACCTGAGGACATTTTTGCATTTATGTTCAGATAGAGCAGGAGGGAGAGATGGAGGAAGAGGGAGAGAAACATTGATGTGAGAGAAACACATCAAGTAGGTGCCACCCACACTGGCCAGGGCAATGTGCTTCTTTCTCTTAAAAAAAAAACAGAGTGCCCTGGCTGGTTTAGCCCAGTGGTTAGAGTGTCGGCCTGCAGACCAATGAGTCGCAGGTTCAGTTCTGGGCAAGGGCACGTGCCTCGGTTATGGTTCATCCCCAGCCCTGGTTGGGGTCGTGCGGGAGGCAACCAATTGATGTGTCCCTCTCACATCAATGTTTCTCTTGTCTCTCTCTTCCTCCTCCCCCACTCTATCTGAAGATAAATAGAAAAATATTCTCTTGTGAGGATTAAAAACACAAAGTGATGTAATTATACGAGAGACCGCACGCGTGTCCACGTGCACACGCAAGGCTGGCTGATTCCGCGCGAGCAGTTCGTGGAGGCACTGGCTCCATCGGGGAGCCCTGAGACGTAAGGCGGCCTGTTCTCCCTGCAGGAGCACGTTTGCTGTGGACGGGAAAGACTGCAAGGTCAACAAGGATGTGGAGCGCGTGCTGAAGGACTTCCACAAGGCTGGGAAGCCCATCGGGTAAGTTCTGCCGGCCCCGGAGCAGGCCTGCTGGGCGGGTGGGGCGGACAGTGGGCTGGACTGTGGCCGTGGCCGGTAACTCGAGATGGGAGCTGCTACTCTGAGCTGTGTGGTCTTGACAACTCGGCCTCTCTCCCCGTTTTAACAGGGGGTTTCATGGGTGCCTTCCAGCCCTGAAAATTCTGTGGTCTTGTGGTTATGTTAATTTCTCCTGACGACTTAGCAGGAAGGAGAGGGGATGATTGTCAGCTTCTAGAATGTTCCCCAGTCCTTCCTGAGCCCTGTCCTTGCTCAGAGTTGGCCTCTGTCCTCCGCTCTCTGTGCTGCTGTGACACCACTCTTGCCACCGTGTCGTCCTCAGCTGCCTTCCCTTTGTGGAGCCTGGGTCCTGAGGCTGGCCGGCCACTAGGGTCCCGTTGCTTCTGCACCCCCAAACTTACTGGCACAGCCATTGCTCACGTCACAGCCCATGGTCGTTGGTCCTGACAGATGGGCGAGGCCATCCATACCTGTGAGACCTGATTTTGTCAGACTTCTGTGTCCATGAGTGTCCCCTAGTTGAACACAGCGTGTGGTTCGTCCCCGTCAGGGAGCCGGAGCATGGTCATCGCTCGTCTTGCGGTCGGTCGCCTGGCAGGAGCGCAGCAGTGCACCCAGTAGGACACATCCGCAGGTGTGGACTTGAGGCCACTCCCGGCTCCCCTGGGTGCTGCTAATACCGTGTCACTGGTGAACCAAAAAAGAACAGCTTATGTTAGACCCCTTCATCCGAGTAGGAGACAGACTGCAGAGAACAGGACGCGCCGACACCTGTCACAGACCTCCAGTCACTTACCGAGGCCTGCCAGTCAGCCTCCTGGGAGCCTTCAGCACCACAGCTCTGGCCCAGCGTCCAAGCCTGGGAGCGGTCTGCGCACAGCACCTCCTGCCCACGTCCCCCCCGACGGGCCTGTGGAGAGGCCGGCGCCCGTCCATGCAGCATGTCTCCCGTCGGCGCGGGGGCTGTGCCTCCTGCACCCCTGGCCCGGCATCCACCTCACGTTCTGAGCTGACCCTGTTCTTCGCCTTTCAGCCTGTGCTGCATCGCTCCCGTCCTTGCGGCCAGAGTGCTCCGTGGCGTCGAGGTCACCGTGGGCCACGAGCAAGAGGAAGGCGGCAGGTGGCCGTACGCCGGGACCGCAGAAGCCGTCAAAGCCATGGGCGCCAAGCACTGTGTGAAGGGGGTGACCATATCCTTTGCAGCCGCTGGGAGCAGCGTGTGGCGTGGGGTCGCCCTCTGCGGCTGGACAGGTAGTGTGTCCAACCAGGAGCTGTGCTAGCGTTGTGGGCACAGAGAGCCTCAGGCACAGGTGACCACGTGCTGGGTCTGCACCTGGAGGGTCTCCACATGGGCCAAAGTCAGAAACAGGACATCACAGTGTCCTGGAGATGACCATGTCACCCTTGGGATGCCTGTCTGTGCTAAAGTGGGGTGTCTTCATGAGCAGTTAGTTTCAGGTATGTCCGTGTCCCCTCTCGTGAACAGCAGCCAGCAGACCCGTGGTCACTTGGTAGGGACAGGGCTGGCCTGGGGTTCTGTGTAGGTCCAGGGTACGTGGGGCAAGGCCAGTTCTGTCACCTCCCGGGCTCTGCGTGACGGGGCAGGAGCTGGGGTGCTGAGGTGGGTCCCAGGTGGAGTCAGCCTCTGCTCTCGCAGCGACACGCAAACGAGCTTAGTTTCCTTGATCTGAAAAGCAGAGATGCTGCTGCTGCCTTCAGGGCTATGGCGGGTCCTGGGCCAGCACTGCGCACGCACTGCCAGGGTTGCTGGGCCGTGGGTCCTGTGGGTACCGGGTGGCACACTGCTGGGCAGCTTCGTGAGGCCGACACTGTTCAGTGAGGTGCAAGCTGCTTCCTCCCAGCATGTGTGCTGTCTCGTTCTCGTTCGTCCCGCCGCACAGAAGGGGGCCCTGCCAGCCGATTTCACCTGGAAGTCTCCCCCAGCCCCAGTCCCTTTGAGGGCTGCTGGGAGCAGTGTCCGGTGTGTGCTTTACCCCTGGAACGTCCCCTTGTCCTTGCTGGTGACATTTCCCTAACTCCATGCACGAAGCTCATGTGGACCGGAAGAACAAGGTGGTCAGCACCCCGGCCTTCATGTGCGAGACGGCGCTCCACCACATCCACGATGGCATCGGGGCCATGGTGACGGAGGTGCTGGAGCTCGCCAGGAAGTGACAGCGCCAGGCTCCGCTCCGCCTCGCCCGCCAGGCGGGCGCTTTCCTGCCCAGCTTGGAATATGGCAGGGATTCCCTGTTCTGCTCGTAAGACACGCTTGGGGTCGGGTAAATTCGTGGGAGAGTCTCGTGCGCAACTCAGCTCACTTCCTTCCCAGAGAGGAGGGACGCAGAGCCCACGCCGCGGAGAGGTGGCTGGGGGTCCCCTGCCTGTGGGGTGAAGTAGCGGCTGACTCCTTGTCCATTCTGAGAGGTAAACTCAGAGTCCGCCTTCGCAGGAAGCCAGCCAGGTAGAAGTGCTACCCTGTAACCTCGGACTTGGCTTGTTTCAGAGTACTTAGTGTTTGGGAGGGGAAAATAATTTTAAGTTTATAAATCTAATCAGAAAACTTGAAGCGTGGTTACTGACAATTAAAGATTCTCTAATCTGGACTAAATGTGTACTAATGACAATGTCCCAGGGATTTCTGCAGCTACATTTCTGCCGCTACATGCTGGGTCTGCTGAAATGGGCAAGTGAGGGATGTAAGTGAGGTTTCTTGAGTTAGTCTCGGTTCTCTTCAGTTTCAGGAAGAAGGGGGAGCTGCCGATCCTCCGCCTGGGTGGTGGACCTGCTGGGTGGTAGCTGCCGGGTTGGTCCCAGCCCCGAGCAGCAGCTGACCCGAGGCGGACACGGAGGGAGCAATGAATCCTGCGTGTCCCCCTTGTGAGTGTGGTTTTAGAGGAGAGGGCTTCAGGGTGACCACTCAGGTGCAGAGTACCTTCCCATTCCAATCTGTCTTCTGTGCCCCTTGGCACCCTGGACACACGGACACCACAGTGTTTGTGCTTCGCTTGGTTTTCAGAAGCTCTTAGGTGGAAGCAGCTGGATTGTTAGTTTGGTCCAGTTCACACTGCCCTGTGTCCATGCCAGGCTGGGAGCAGGTGCAGAGACAGGCCCTGCCCTTCTGCTCCGCCCACTCACTGCTGTGTGGGGCGAAGTGATGGGTGCCCTCCACTGGTGTCGGGGGCGCAGTGGCTGACGTTGCTCTCGCTCAGGCCTCCTGCTCACCTGTATCTGCTCAGCCTCTGACGTTTGCGTCGTTTCACCAAGGGAACCCCATTGGGCGGTGACCAGTTTTTCTCCCACCAAAGCTGGACCCCATGAGCAAGAGCCCCCATGGTGCACTGCTGGCACCAGCCATGAGGACCAGGCCTGTGCTTGCTCGTACAGGACCCGTCAGAGGGCAGATAACGGGTTAAAGTCTCCCTAAGAAAGGTGTGGATTGAAACGTTCTCCCTGTGTGTGCATGTGTGTGCGTGCGTATGGCAGAGTGCACCTCGGTGAGTTCTCCCTGAGTGAGTGCACGTTCTGTGGCTGCTTCCACGAACGTGTCGCGGTGTCTGCCGCACTTCCACAGGCGTCTGCCGTGCTGCAAGGTTGCAGGGTGCTGTTCAGCATCGGTGGGGGACGTCGGCAGTGCTCCTGCGTGTCCGTGCTGGGCCCAGCTGCACGAGTGTCCAGCTCTTCCCGGCCCGCTGGGTGCTGGGTGGATGGTATTTCCCATGGTTTTCTCCGGTGTCTCCCTGAGGTCCACTGAGGCCGGTTACCTTTCGTATATCTTTCGGCCTTCCGGCTGTCCCTTTTTGTGAAGGGCCTGTCCGACTCAGGTGTCTCCCTGTCTGGTCGTCTGGGTTGTCATCAGAGTTACATGTGTGTCTGGCTACAAGTCCTCTGTCAGCTGAGTGGGTCACTGTGTTTTCTCCCACTGTCTCTTCATTCTCGGGTGTCTGGATAAGCAGACAGTGCCACTTGTATGTGCCCGTTTCGCACTGTGTTTCTGTTACTCCTGCCCACCCCGGTCACGCAGGCTTTTCCTGTGCTGTCTGTTGCCTGTTGTTCCACCTCCATTTCCTCGGTGGTGATCTAGAGTCAAAGTCTGGCTCCTGTGCTCTGCAGTCTGGTTTGTTTCTTCTCGAAATGCCAGGGGATGGACCCTTGGAGCCCAGCCCTGTCGGGGGCAGCACCAACACCCCTACCCCAGCCCCCTGGGGCTCACCCCCGGGTTCGGCGAGCATAGGTGTTGTAGACAGGAGTGCCGAGAAATGGAGCCCGTGCTCAGGGAACCGCAGGCTGGCTGGGTTTCACCTCCTCGCACTTCTGCTTCGCCTGTGCTGATCCGGCCAAAGGGCAGGTGACCATAAAGGGAAGGGAGAACCTACAAGGAAATCCCAGAAAGCTGCTGCTCAGTGCTCGGGCACACCTCATGCACGTGGTCACTGTCCATCCCATTGCTTTCCCAGGAGGTGCCTGTGGCCCAGGTCCGACAGCACCGCGGCGCCCTTTCTTCCTGAGACCCCCGCCCCGTACTGGCTTCTGTGGGCCCGAGCTATTGCGTCTGCCCACCTAACCCTTGCAGCAGCCCAGGGAGGGGGTTCCTGACCGTCCTGTGTTGTCAAGCTGAGCTGAGACTCGGGTCAGGCAGAAAGACCAATGCTCAAATCTGAAGCACTGGAGAGGCCCCAGCAGTCTGAACCCGAGTTCAGTCATTCATTTGACGACGATTGAATGCCTACTGCATGCCCTGAGCCCCAGGGAACAGGCAGACATGACCCCAGTACTCACAGAGCCCTGGTTGAGGGCTCTACCAGGACACAGCAGGTGAGCATGGCGCTGGCAGACAGTGGAGGACACGTGGACGTGTTGGGAAGGAGAGCCTGTGGGGCCGGGTGGTCAGGGAGGGGGCAAGGCACCATCTGGGAGAGGACGAGGTGGAATGAGCAGGTGGCTGTGTGCGACGGAAGTTCCAAACAGAGCAGTAGCAGGGAGTCGAGGACATTGGGGGCCGCAAGGCCTGAGTGCGCTGTGGGCTGGGTCCCTGGAGGCTCCTTGACCTTGGCCATGCCTGGAGCGTGCCTGTGGTTCAGGCCCTGCCGCCAGGGGCACCGCAGAGCTGTCCTTGGGTCTGGCTGTGGGCTCCCTGGTTGACTCAGCCTGGATGGTGGCCTCCCTGAGCCTCCACTAGGGGCAGGAGCATCATAATATGAAAGCTTTGAATTTCTCAAGTATGACATTAGCTGTAGGTTTTTTGTAGATTTCCTTTATCAAGTTGAGGAAGTTTTCCTCTATTTATTTCTAAGTTTCTGAGAGGCTTTTTGTTTTTGTTCTTATCATGAACCAGTGTTAGAATTTGTCCGATGTTTTCTCTGTTTATTGATAGGAACGTGATTTTTCTTTGGAGTGTTGATGTGATGGATGACAGTTGATTTTCAAATACTAAACCAGCCTTGCCCACATGGAATAAATCACTTGGTTATGGTAGTTCTTTTTAAACATCGTGGATTTGATTTGCTAATATCTTGTGAAGGATTTTTGCATCTTTGTTTATGAGAGATACTAGTCTGCAGTTTTCTTATAATAGTCTGGGTATCCATGTGATGCTGGCTTCATGGAACAAGTCATGAAGTATTCTCTCTGCTTCTACCCTGTGAAAGAGATTGTAGAGAATGGGTGTAATTTCTTTCTTTTTAAAAAAACATGTTTTTGTTGATATTGATTTTTTTTAGAGAGAGAGGAAGGGGGAGAGAGGTAGAACCATCAATGTGAGAGAGAAACATCAATTGGCTGCCTACTGCATGCCCCCACTCCCCCTGGGGATGAGCCTGCAACCCCAGCATGTACCCTGACTGGGAATCGAACCAGGACCTCTCAGTCCATGGGATGCTGCTCAACCCGCTGAGCCACACCGGCCAGGCTAATTTTTTTCTTAAATGTTTGATAGAATTCACCACTGAACCCCTCTGGGTCTGGTGCCTTCTGTTTTGGAAGACTATTTAATTATTGTTTCAATTTCTTTAATAGACACAGGCCAGTTCAGATAGTCTATGTCGTCTTGTGTGTTTTGGAAAGAGGTGTCTTTCAAGGAATTAATTGGTATTTCATCCAGGCTAATTTGTGGGTGTAAAGTTGGTCTGAGTACTTCTTACTGTCTTTCTGACATCTATGAGGTTGTTCTTCTTTCATTTCTGGTATTAGTAGTTTGTGTCTCCTCTCTCTCTGAGTTAGCCTGGCCAGAGGCTTGTCAGCACTGCTGGTCTTTCCAAGGAGAACCAGCATTGTCTCACTGGTTTCTCTGTTTCCTGTTTTCAGTTTCGTTGGTTTCTGCTCTGATTTTTATTTCTTCTCTTCTGCTTCCTTAGGACTCATGATTTGCTCTCCACGTTTCCTGAAGCACGGGCAGAGATGATTGATTTCACGTCTTTCTTCTCTTCTCATATGTGCATTTAATGCGATACATGTTTTTCTAAGCACTCCTTTTGCTAATCTCACAAATTTTGATTGTTTTATTTTCATTTTTATTTAATTCAAAATATTTTAAAATTTCTCTTGAGATTTCTTCTTTGACACACGTGTCCTTTGAAGTGTGTCATCATTTAATCTACAAGTGCCTAGGGATTTTTCCAGTTATCTTTCTGTTACTGATTTTTAGTTTCATTCCATTATGGTCGAGGGCAGACATTGTATTATTTCTTTTCTTCTAAACGTGTGAAGGTTTGTCCTTGACACAGAATGTGGTCTCTTGGTGAATATCCATGGAGCGTGAGAAGATTGTGTGTCCCGCTGCCGTTGTATAAAGGGGTTAATAGATGTCAGTTAAATGCAGTTGACTGATGACCTAGTTGAGTTCAGCTGCATCCTCTCTGGTTTTCCGTCTGCGGTGTCTGTCCATTCTGAGACAGGTGTCCAAGTCTCCAGCCGTAATAGTGGGTTTTCCCCTTGCACTTCCCTCGCCCTTGGCCCCATGTAGTTTGACACTCTTTAGGTGCATACGTGTCAAGACTTGTTATGTCTTGGGGATGTGGATGAAAGGGGGGCCTTGTAACCCTGACAAGCTCAGGGGAGGGTCTGCATGGCGGCTTTACAAACTCGGAGACCAAAAGTGACCACTTAGGATGGGCTGAAATGAAAACTTTCCAACCATACAGGCGAGTCATGGCGGGTAGCCATGCCCCCGGCCGGCATTTCTCTCTAACGGAGGTCCATCTTCACCCGTTTGACCTCACGGTTTGCATCTACAATAACATACCTCTGGATTGTCGCCGTAATCCCCTTTTCCCACCAGAACATAAGACCACAGAACCCCCATTGCTATCTTGTTCTCCCACACCCCAGTTCTGTGTGCTGTACGTGTTCGTTGTTACCTGTCCTGTACCCAGCGTGGAAGAAGTGTGTCTGTTTCACTCTTCATCCATCTCAGCTTCTCCACTCGCCCTCCCTCGGTCTTCCCTTTTGATTCTGATGTCTAAAACAAGGTGCAAAACTGCCATCTCGGGAGCGTTTGCTCAGTCCACTGAGATTATGCTTCCCAGTGATGGTCAGTTTGGCTCAAATAAACTCATGATTCTCTACAGGTTTGGATCTTCTTACGTCAACAGAGAATTGACCCCTTATATCATTGTGTAAGGCCCTTTTTCCCTGATAACTCTGTTCTAAAGTTGCCATTCTGAAATTAATATAGTTTCCACTCTCTTTTAATCAGTGTTAAAAGATTTACTTGCGCCCTGGCCAGTTTGGCTCAGCGGTTGGAGCGTTGGCCTGCGGTCCGGAGAGACCCGGGTTCGGTTCCCGCTAAGGGCATGTACCTCGGTTGCAGTTTGTCCCCGGCCCCGGTTGGTCGTGCGGGTGGCAGCCACTCGATGTGTCCCTTTCACGTCGATGTTTCTCTCTTTCTCTTCCTCTCTCTCC